GTTGGTCGAGCTAGAAAAAAGAAGGGCGGCTGAGGTACTGTTTTTAAATGTTTCAAGTCACTAACGTTTTATTTCAAGTTTTGTTTTTAAGGAGAGTTTCAGAAAATATTAGCTTGACTTTCACAAAATATTGTTTTCTTTATTTTCTTGGAAAAATCATAGACTTATCATGAAAATAACTCTAATATTTACAGTAGATGACATGAATAGTAGTTGTGGAAAAGGTAATATGACATTTTTTTCAACCGATTTCACGACTTTAGAAATTTTTGAGGTTACTTCACCTAGATGCTACCTACATTTTCAGTTATGAACAAATATCCTAAAACTATCAGCCCAGAGGAAAAGGAGCTGAGTTGAGTTACGCTGGCGTTGAATAGACTTAACAAATGGCCTAAAGGCCAGTGCATTGTTGCGGTAAAGAAAACACAAACGCACTGCCACATTCACCAACACAAATGCCCGTTAGATGGGGCGTATGCGCAATATGACCAACAATGCGTATGTGGAATATTATCGAAGCTGCAGGCTTTCACTGTTCGTGGCTTCACGGTGGCCAGATTGAAAACAAAGCACAGCGATTGCCTGGAAAATAAACATACGCCAGTCATGATGAATTTTCTATAAACATTTAAAAGTTGGCTACCTAAAAAAAAATTGTATTAAATTTAATAATGAACGAGCGTTTTTATGGTTGTAGCAGCGCCTTTTCAAATATGCAAATTAATTTTCACCATTCTGCATTTTTTATGTAAACTGTAAAATGTGAAAAATGCTAATGAAACTGAAGATAAAATGGATGTGAGGCAGAAATTAATTAAATTCATTTTTATAAAACTGGAGGCAATTAAAATTTGTGCAATAGGTAAATATTCAAGAGGCTTAGTAACTTGAGAAGTCTTTTTAAAAAGCATTTCTTTGGACTTTCATATAAGCCATGCTAAAGCCGAGGAAACATAGAAACAACATTCTAACATCAAAGCAACAAGCCAGAGGAAAAGTAATAGTGTTGAGAGGAATAGCAGAAGATAAGCGGCCAACACGTGGAACAGAAATGACAAAGTAGCAAAAGCAAAAACGCACCTGAAAAGCAGATAAGCAACAAAGCGCGCAGGACAATCGCACTAACAAAGAGCTGTACAAATGACTGCAAAGACCAAAGGTTGGCAACGGGAAAGAAAGAAAACAAAAAAACCAAAAAAATAACCAACCCAACAAAAGCAAAAACAGAAAAGGTTGGGCCATAAAGAAATGAGAGAAACTATTCCAAAGTCATTTGGCAAGGTCGCAGGTCGGAAAAGAGCAGGGCATGGCGGGATGGCAGGGCAGCAGTGGTGGTAATGGTAATGGTTATGTCAATGGGCAGGACAAGGACTCCAAGAGATGAAAGGAAAAAGAAGTGTTTATTGCTAAACAATGCAGCAACAATAGTTTCACCATCCTGGAATAACATACAAATAAAAATTGTGTGGCAAACAAATAAACAAAGTGAGAGAGAGTTTATGGGTGATACAAATATTTATAAATCATCTATAAAACACAAAGGGTTAAACTGTAGAAGAATTTAAGCTATAGACTTATATATGTACATAAGCTATTTGTTTTAATTTTCGTTTGGTAAAGGTTACATTATTCCTAAAATAAGAACAACTATTAAAGTTTGTAATAAGTCTGGAGATTAAAAACACCCTTAAGAATAATCTCAAGACTTATTACAACTATTTAATCACCGCTTCACTCTATTTGCTCTTTCCGGAAGAAACCCTTTTTATCCCCGTAACTATTGTTGCACTTTGATTGCAATTTCCCTTCGGGGACTTGGCTTGTGCCATCATCATCGTCCTCATCGTTGGTCACCCTTCCCCCCTTGGCCTCGTTAAGTTTTTGACAGGCCAACTAATTTCAGGGCGAGAAGGAGCAAAAGTGCCTCGAGGACAGTGAAGGGCAAACGCGAAGTGACACTTTTTCACCCTTTGCCGAGACCCGGACCCCACTTCAACCGGGAGGCCAATCAATCTTCGGCCCAGAGTCCTGGCAGGCAGTTCAAGTGCTGGCCAAGCCCGGCTCACTTCATCTTCATTCATTTGGGCAATTGCCCGCCTGTCGCCTTCTACAGTGTTCTTTCGTGGCACTTGTTTCCCTTTAGCTTCCTTTTTCACTGAGAAAATAACAAGTGAAGGTAAAGTGTTATTTGAAGAAGGTTTCGATATTGAAGTTTATATCTGTGGAATAATATTTTATATTCCCGAAATGTGTAGTTTTAAAAGTAAATATTTCTATTACAATTTTAACAGAAATCGAAAAAAAATTTCTGAAATAATTTCTTGTATGATTTCAAACTCATTTTCACTGTGTACTTAGGATATTTTCCCTCCTTCAGCTTTTTGAGTGTCCTAACGACAATTGCAAATATGTTGCAATTTCCCGGTTTGGGGCCAATGGTCGAGGGATGCTTTTCCTGTTCTTTCCTGTTGCTCGTTGGCTGCTGCCACTTTTCCCAGTCCTCCTCTAGCCGTTTCCCTTCATTTCCTTCTTCTCCTGACACAGGACATGGCAGACTGAGTAGCGCCCGGGGACCACCGAAATGTGCTGCAACTGCCTTGTCCCACTGCCTCCTGCCCATTCTTGTGCCCATCCCCATCTCTGCCAGCCACGAAGATTGATCACAGTTGGCGCAAGTTTTTGTAAACCCCGCCTGCATTTTTATTTCCTGCGCCTGTCGTTTAATATGAAAAATTGCGCGCAAATATTTGCAAAGCTTGCAGCATAGTGTAAAAGGGGTTGGCGAAAGGAGCCTTCCCCTCGGCTGAGTATCCTAATTGTAAGAATTTGTCAGAATTTGTTGCCGGGGTCAGATATTAATCGTTTCACTTTTTTTCTCTGGCATTGAAACCTGCGGCAATTAGGGGGAAAAATATCGATGTGTGAAAAATGCAAATTAAATGAATGCATTAAAATAAATTAATATTTGCTGTGTGCTTGTTGATTTATCAAAAGAGTAATTGTGGGGGTCTTTTCCGTTATTGATCAGGCTTATTGTTATGCGTTCATTTAAGAGGAAAATTTTAATAATAAATTAAATTTTATATGAATTTTATGAAATTTCCATTTATCCTAAACTCTTAAAAACTTTAGTTACAAGCAGGCAAGGCGATAATAGGATCACGCATAGTTATTTGTAGGATAACTTTTACTTCAATTTAATACAGACATAGATTCATAGATTAAAGTAGATTCAGATTTTTTAATTTTCCGCATAAAACAAACTTTTTTTTTAATGGGATGACTAACAAATATAATTATATTAGATCTTCATTTCATTTAATGAGCTTGCAAGAAATCTCTTTTTCTCATCCTGATCCTATTATTTGGTTCCCTACCTTTCCTGACAATCATTTTCCACCGCCTGACCACCCACTGTGCCCGTTGGCCAAAAGCTTAAGCTGCACCATCAAAGGGATCAAGTACAAGGTGGAGCGCGGAATGAAATAGCAGAAAAGGATTAACCGGAGTAGCTTACCGTTATTCGAATGCACTTAACAGAAGCCCAAGAGCTCATTGCCAGTTGTTAACTTGGCTTCATTTGCCGCAGCCTTAAATACTCTGCTTCCCGATTCTCTTTCTCCGCGAAAGTAGATAAGGAGAAAAGTAAAAGAAAAATGTAACAAACTATATACAGAAAGGGAAAACCGACCCCGTTCCGGGAAAGCAGAGAAAAGTACAGAATATAATAAAAACTAACATTAATGTCTTCATTTTGCGCTCAACAACAGCGAAAGTTAGCAAAAGCAGACAAGGCCGAAGCGAACTCGAAAGTGGCAGTGGAAAGAAAGGAAAAAATCTTTTAGCCAAAGTTTTTCGCTTTTCCTTCCTCTCGATTTTAACGCATTGCCTAAGGCTTGAGGGGATCCCCTCTTTTGAGAAAAAATTCTGGTGCGGGGAGGCGTGCCATGGACTAACGCGCGACTGCAATTTGCCAAACGCGCAAGGATAGCGAATCGAAAAATTGGCCTTAGACCAGCAGGAATGATGGAAATTTTCGAGCGCGACAAGTTTCATGGGGGTAACAACGAAGCTATATACACAGAGATATAATACACAGGGAAAAAAGGAAACAAGTGCTGAAGATTTTAAAGAGACAAGTTGAAAAGAGAGTTTTGTCTAATGACCTTAGCTTCTCAGCTCTAAAAAGAGGATTAATTGTTATTCCAAAAATATTTACAGGTCTTATTAAATACTGAAAGACAAGTTTTCTTAACGAATGCTTCAAAAACACGCAAATTAAAGTAGTTCTTGGATTTATTTTAATCAAAATATAATCCTTAATCTCTACTCCTTATTTTCCGTGCATACATAGCTTCATGTTGAGCGGTTTAACTGTCTCTCTGGCTCTCTAAAAAAATGAAAATTGAAAATTGCTGGAATTGCGTTTGGCTCTCGTTTTGATAAGAAACTTCAAGCGGACAAAGGGGGAAGGATGAGCTAGGCAAACATCTGCTGCAGCTCCTCCATCTTTTCCCGCTAGTTTGCCGTGGGCAACGCGGCGTATGAGCAATGCGCAGATCTCTTGAGTTACGCCCAGCCCAGCAAGCTGACAAAAGTTGGAGTGCCATGTTTGTTATGAAATCCCATTGGCTTTCCACCATGTCTCCACAGTCCTCCTTCTCCCATTGCATAACCCTTTTAGTTAAAATCCCATTTAATTAAATCATTAAGTCAGACATGGCCTTTAGGAGGAGTTTTCCGCATTTGTGTTAGGGCCCTTTTCTGCATTTTCCACCCAGTAAAACTAGAGAGCATGGGAGGACAAGTAGAAGATTCCATTGGATTTAATGAGCAAATGCTCGACGCTCCCCGAAAAGTTCTGTAATTGAAATTGCGGATGTGGCGAGGGTAAACACTGCAAATGACTTTGCAGTTGGCAGTTAGCAGTTTTCGCTTTTTGTTTCGCCGAGAGTTTTTAAACTTGTTTTCGCTTTCGCCCAGCATTCCAAACTTACCTCAAATAATTTATTTATTTGTTTGGCTGCTCTGATTTTTTCGGAATTCGCTTAGGCGGCAAAGTTCTGTAATGGAAAGAAGTGAGAGGAAAACAGGTTATAGCTTGGATTATGGTAAGTCAAATAAAACTCAGGGGTTGAATAATACAAAAATATTAATAATGTTTACAGACAACTTGACTTTAATTTTCATTGCATATATCCTTGAATGTGTTATTTGCTTATATCTAGTTCCTTAAAGTAAATCTAGCCCGACTAAATATTTTTACCATAAGTATACATTCCCTCGATCTAAATCTTTAAACCGTTTCCCATTTAAGCCAAGCTTCTTCGAGGTGAACTGATTTTTATCAGCAGACTTGTCAAGCCGCTTAATTATTATCCTTGATGGCTGGTGCACTGGCTTTGTCATATTCTGATGACCTAACCTCTCCTGGCTGGCTCCTTCCGAGCCCCTGCAGTTAATAAATCTCTAGACAATCCCCTCAACTGCAGCTGTAGTCACAAAATTCTGTTGGTCAAGAGAAGGGCAGGCAGCTTTTCCCTTAGCTTGTCCCACGTGACGTATGCGCAATGTGCCATCAGCTCGACTAAGGACTTAATTTAAAGCCGCTTTCATCAGCAGACAAATCTCCACTCCTGAACTCAATTTCCAGCTGACAGCAAACAAAACAAAAACCGAATAATGAAAAAAAGGATCCCCAAATCTACAGCCAGACATGACCTCCTTCCTGTCTGCATTTAATTATTGCTGGCTCCACACAGGCTGCCAGACAGATGGACAATTAGTGCTGCTGGCCATGAATTATGAGCTCTCGGTTCTCATTTTATTTTTTTCGCCCTTCCGCCTTTGCTCGGGTTAAGTAAATCATGGTCAGTAGGAGTTGGACTCGACCCTCATAAAATCACTTTAAACAATGGCCGGAGAGGAGGCGATGCGAGAACCAACAAATGTGTAGTTAACTATTATGGCTGCCAGGAGTCGGAGCATACTGAGCTGAACTTTTGTGCTTCATTTCCGGTTCCGTTTCCGCTTGCGACTGCGACTGCACATATGCAAAGCACGGGTGGCAGGGTGGTGTGGGGGATTCGGCAGCATATGGATAATGGCAAAACGTGCCGAAAGCCAAAAAGTTTATGAACAGAGAAGACAATGTCAGCAGCGAGTTGGCAGCAGACTGCATTGCCATTGAGGGGGCGTGGCCCCAAGAGCTGCTCGTTTGTTTTGACTTTCAATTGGAAGGCTTTCCTCTTGGCCCCGAGGCTGATTTTTGCCTACTGTTGCTCCTCATGTTGTCTTTCCTTTTTTTAAGCCAGTTTTGCTAGAGATTTCCCATGGGAGAACTTTTCAGCCACTTGTTTGGCACAACATTTATGCAAATATAAATACATTACTTTAAAAACAATAAGCTTTAAGCAATATAAACGCATAAATGAATTTGTTAAGTAATGATTATAATTTCCAGCTTATTTTATTTGATTTATTTTTAGGACAATATAGACATAATCAAATGGATATACAAGGTCGTAAAGAGGTATATTTCTGGCTGAATCTCTGTTCTTTTATTTCCTAAATTTCATTTCCCAAAATCGATTATTATTAAGATCCCTTCAATGGCTAATAAAGCTTAGCTTTAGGGACAAACCTTAATAATTTTACATATATATTTATAAATATCTTCAAACAAAAGAAAAATAAGCCCGCTTGTTATTCTATTTTGTTTACAATAAAAAAGAAAGTACAGCGCAAAGGATAAAGTCACAAACCAAAAGGATGTTTCTATAGCATCAAATTAGACACTTCTCCCACACCAGTTTGTTGTCCTGTCCATCCTTCTGTTTGTCCATCTTGTTTAACCTTTCTCTTAACCCCTTCCATCGCCTCTATTGAGATGCTGTGTTCAAGATAAAAACTCAGTTCAAGCCAGACGACTTGTTGGCCCAATCCCTTATAAAGAAGTCCAAGGAATCGAGGCCAAAATCTAGTATTGTTTTTGGGCTTAAAATTGTGGGTCAATTGTTGTATTTTTGTTTATTCGTCTTTTGAATGGCTTTATCTACTGTTCGTCCTGCATTTTTCGATAAATTTATGCACATTTCCATGGAATTTTATGTGACAGGCAAAGCAACTATGAAATGGAGAAAGTTTTGCATTTGCCAATTTGGTTTCGTGTTCGGTCCCTGGAGACGGGACTCGACATTTGACAGCTGGTAAACATAAATCTAGGGAATGGGATAAGAGACAAAGTGCAAATGTGTACTAAATAAATTATTTATCAATATCTGTGGCAAAATTAATTTCTCAATTTTCTTTGCAGATTGTAGCTGGAAAAATGAATTTAAACTGGATGTGTGATAGGCTTTGCAATGGCTTCAATTGATACCTTCAACATGCGACAAAAATAGACTTTGGGTATTGATTAGTTACCAAGATTTGTTTAAGCCATTGTGGTCGGTTAGATTTTGTCTAGAAGCTTAATTTTAAATTGGGTTTTGTAATGAAAATGTTTAAATTGAAAGATTGTTCTATTATTTGTGCATATTACAAAGAATATACTTAACTTTAACAACTTAATAACCATTTATAACTTGAGTTAAATGTCTTTTATTAATCAGGAGTACAAGCTGAATTCAACAGAAAGCCCCCAAAATAAGAAATTTTTTTCAGTTTTGCATACACTTCAGTCAGCTTGTCAGCAGAGGCTTCCTCCATGGAATAAAAACTGATTGGAAGAACAGAAGTCATTTTCCCAGACTTCTAATTTCGTCCCAAAAAATTCCCAGTGGCCGAGTGTCAAAATCAGACCGAATTGGATCACCCCCCCTCCACAGCCTTGTTGGGGGGGCCAGTTGGTCCTGTAAGGAGGAATAAGGCGCAGACAACAATGGACAGATATCTGCAGCTGACATGTGTATAAACGAGACTGGGAGGATGGCAGAGTGAGAGGCAGACACTCTGACAACGTGTTCCATCAACCACACAACAAAAGGCAAAAGCAACAACAGAAGGACGACTGCAGAAACAACAAAAGCATCTACAATAACCCGTTCAAGATGGAGAAGAACAGGGATTTATTGTTGGTGGACAGAGGGAATAGCAATGCATATGCTGGGTCTTTGGAGTCTCTGGGGGATTTCTTAGGAGGTTGATGTCAAAAGTCTTGGCTATCAAAAGATTAAACCAAATTGGTAACCTCGAGGGCCAAGGGAGCAGAAAAACATTGCCTACATGTGAGCATATTAATTTCTGATTTATAAGAAAGAATTAAATAAAAACAAACAAAAATAAGGGAGGGAATCATTGTGAATATTATTACAATTAATATATAACTATAACTGTCTATGATCTTTGAGTAAAGTCATCTTTAAAGTAAGGACCACTGTGCTTTGTATACCCTTGCATGGTATTATAATTTTAGTTAGAAGTTGGTAACTCAGTGAAGGAGTCATTTTCGATCCTATAAATTATATAGCCAAAGTAAGCTTCCTTTCTTGCTTTCATTGAAAACTTTTTGGAGAATACAAAGTGAAATTTAAATGTTCCACAACCCCTCGACGATTCTTAAGAGCTTAGCTAGATAAATTTTCAGTGGGTCAGCCATTTCCTCAATGCACATTACTTAGTGTGGATTTTCCTTAGCGCAAAGAGGGAAAGCGACTCGGATATGTGCTTCTCCCTAGCCTGAACACAGTCACACACATACACACACACACTCGGATACCAGACCCCTAATTCCGGGAAATTCAAATTTGCCAACTCATCAGCAGGATCTTGCTTCTAATCTGCTTTTCCCTTCCTTAATCTTACTCGTCTTCCATTAGGGGGGGATTTCCTCGTCTGCGGGCTGCCATTCAATTAAGTCATCATCGCTGTGCATCTTGGAAGCGTTTAACACGCAACTGGCACCCTCTCCCTCTCTGGCATCCAAAAACCAACCGCCAACCCTTAACCCCATGGCCACTTGTCGAACATGATAAATTTGTGGGAAAATGTCAGTTGGTTGGGTACACAAAAAAAAAGGGGAAAAAAGTGGGGAAACTTCGTTGCGCTCGCCTAGATGTTATTGCATTTTTAGTACAACCCATTGCTCGGGTTTTCCACCCCACTCCCATTGACACCCCGCGAGCTGCGTTAATTTTGCGCCAGCTGTCAAATGTCAAAATGTCAAGTGAAACAAAATTTTCGCATCATGAGAAATGCATGTCAGAGTCACACAGAGTCTCCATGGAGCAGCTGGCAGTGGGATGTAAGCCAAACTAAGCGACAGTCTGCTCCTCCACCCATTAGGGTCCCCAAACCCCATGGAACCGCCAATAGAGTTGGCTGCCTGGCTGGATGGGAATCGTTATCGAGTTACCCAGCCGGGGCGTGCTTCATCATCGTCATGAAACGGAGCGGGGAGCGTGAATCGGGCCAGAAGGGGTTAAGCGGATGAGCGGCAGGAGGTTGAGCAGCATCAACATCATGATAATGCCCATTATTAGCAGTGGCAAAGCATTTGCATGCATTTTAGAATTTGTATATTCCGCCAGTGCCCCTGCATTCCACCTACACTGAGGAGTACACTGAGAACAATTTAGTGGGATTATTTAAATTATTAATTTAAAAATTAGAGCAACCCTCTAGGGTTTCTTTAGATCTTTATTTATATTTTAGGTATTCAAAAAATGTTTTATATATTCTGATTGAAGATTTTTAAATAGAATAAAAACTGATATTAAACTTTTCATACATTATATCATAAATACCTTATTTGCCTCTAAGTTACACCTATAGAAAGTCAACTGTATTTATTTTTGGCTGCCTAATGCCATGGTTAGATATGGGGAAAAGCTGCGTGTCAGTGGTGCCCTGGGCATTTGCGGCATGGTAACCTCAGCCACTGACAGCGGCTCACGCAAACAGCCAGCACTTTGCCACTCGACCAGAACCCTGCTCCTGCTCCTACTCCTGCCCTTGCTCCTGTTCATCCTCCCTCTTCACATTCCCCTTTTCCAGGGCCTCTCGATCCGGGACGCGATTTATGCGCACATTATAAGCAATTACACGGCCAAGCCAGCTGGGA